TGCTAAACCCACGCGAGTTCCTTTCTACAGGTTATGTGGGACTCAGAACCATCGATGCATCGGGAATCACACAGCTGCCAAGAAGCTGGGAAAATAATTCTTCTTCGAAATAATTGTAAAAATCGATTATCTCTTCACGAGATATCTTTTTTCATTTCTTCGCAAGCTATAATGATAATAAATTGAAGACTCGCGTGATTAATGAGATTTCTGAGGTACGTGTATATGCACTAAATGAATAAAACAATTTATAAGCAGTTTTAAAAGGAAATAAGGTAAAACGAGAGATAAGGGTTCTAAGTTACCGCGGATTTTTTTTACTAGTTATTTTGTTGCGCACAAAATTAAGTTATGAAATTCTTATAAAGCTTTGCTCGGCGAGGAGAAATTTTCACGAGAAAACGTTAACTCTAATGATAATCACGCAGTATGTTACCGCCACAGTCTGTGTAATCTTCGTCAAGCACGGAATGTGAAATATTCGTAAAATTCCCGCGAGATAAATAAATGAAAGTTTTTAGATAAAACGGCTCCGGGCAACCAACATTCTCATCCGAATGAGAAAAGTTCAAGTTTAAAATTTAATTAAAACAAAAAAGCAGAAAAAAGACGTTAAATTCCTCTGGCTACATCATTTTTATTCAGTTATTTTATTTTTAACCATTAACCTTGTTCATTTTATCAAATAGGTCGAAATGAATTAAATAAAACATATAATAAAATAAATATATATCAATAAAATATAATAAAATAAATATATAAGTAAAATATAATAAAATAAATGATTTCTGTGTTCTCGTACCTTGAACGTTCACGTAACATTTCTCTTTCACGTTCTTTCTTTTATAGAATCGTAATCGCTGAATCGCGCGGAAATAACGAGCGTTTCGCAGACGGTAGAAAACCGCACCCGCGGTAAACTATAGTTTTGTTTGCTGCAATGATAAACATAGGGAAGAATATATCTCTCGCGCAATAAAAGATAAAATAAAATGCATGACGAATTGAAGATACGAAAGAGAGATTATATTGTATGCATCGTTTAGCTATATGTTGACGTTTCGTCGATAATATTGATAGGTCGTATTAAACACATACAGTTTGAGGCGTCTGTTTCCTTTGCGTTCAAATAGTTTACTGCAATCGTAAAGGTAATCCAGGCGTGGACGTGCAATCGATATCGAAATATCACGCTAACAATAAGTGTAATACGGAGAGATAGTTCACTTATGACTCCAGTTTCCAGTGTTGAGCCTCCCGTTACACGTAAATTAAAATCCATTCAGTTTGACATCAATATTCTAACTGCGTCGTAACACAGATTTAAATTGTTAGAGATAAAACATACAAGATGAAGCAGTGGCTATTAAATACGCAAGGGATCATTTCTAAATTACATTAGGCAGAAGAAATTGAATAATTCTTAAGTAAGATTTTTAAAAATATTCTAATACAATTTTTTCACCACAAATTCATTTTCATTTATTTACTAATCATTTTTATCATTTAATTTTGATTATTTTATAAAAATAATGAAAATGTAACTTGATATTTGGAAAAATAAAATTTCATATTACTCACATTCGACTAATTTTTTATTTCTAAAAAGGATCAAACTATTTCAAAAAATCTTATTAGTAAAATTATAAAATATTACGTAAGGTATAGGAAAAAAATAAGGTCACAAAAATCCTACGATCAAAAATCGTAAAAAAAAAAAAAAATAATTTTGGGATGGTTTTGAAAAATGTTTATTCCTGAATTTTTAAATCTAATTTTTTATTTCTAAAAAAGGGTCAAACTATTTCAAAAAATCTTATTAGTAAAATTATAAAATATTACGTAAGGTATAGGAAGAAAATAAGGTCACAAAAATCCTACAATCAAAAATCGTAAAAAAAAATAATTTTAGGGTAGTCTTATATAAAAAATGTTTATTCCTGAATTTTTAAATCTGGATAATTGGATGGAAGAGAGAGAGAAAGAAAGCTTTTTCCGCACAACTTTGCTTTGTTCGTGTCTCTTTAAAAATCCGGAAGATTAGGGATAACGAGAACTCATAATCATTGTGCGATAGGTGCAGAGCGCGGGATATTTCGAAATTGAGGGCTTTTAGGAAAATTTCCGGTCATCGGAAGTGCCGCTGGTTCCTCGAAGCCTCGTGCATTACTGCTGTTCCATTGTCGCGCTTTATATCACGAACGATAGCCATCGGGCAATTTTTGCCCATCAACTGTTCGCGCGTTTTATCTCTCTGGCGTGTCTCGTTTTGCGTTCTTCTGAAAATAACAACGGAGATAGAATAATCCGCGGGATTAACCCATTAGTGGTCAACGTTTAAAAATTGTTTCATTAATGACACGCGAGAGGGAAATTCTTTCATGTTCGAATTTCGAGAGAGGCATTTTTTTAGAAAAAAAACTTTATTCCTGATATTGTTTCAAATAATGTTTATTTGTAAAAAAGTCATATCCGTTGTAACATATTCATAAAATTATCCTTCCCTACAATCTAAAAGTTACACACTTACAAAAGTTGCTACAAAAGTTCGAATAACTATAACGCATATAATATAGTAAATAAAAGCCGACGATTAATATATATATATATATATATATATATATATATATATGTATATCGATTAGTCGGAGTATAATTATCATATATTCGTACAATAAATTCTTTAAAATATGACATAATTAAAATAAAATTAATTCGCCCAAAATACAGATTATAATGATACATAATACATAAATTAACATTATTTCATATACATGTATAATAGAAACATTTTCATTGCGAATCTCGTTTATTCGGTCATTCTGGATAAATTGAGATTCTTCTTAATATCATTTACGCTTTCATACCAAAGCCCTAGCATTATTCTCATTCATACGTAATGCTTTGATATTGTACCCTTCTTGAAAATTTTTATATGCATAGAATAGTATAGATAAAAAAAAATAAAAATTAATATTGCACATAAAAACATATAATAATAGAAATTTTCCAGAAATCTCGAGTGCAACATCAGAAATATTTCTATCATTATTTCTATACAATTAAAATTAAGATTTGGCAATTTCTATGTTTAAAACAAATGAACTGCTTGTCAAAATAGAGACTTAACAAAATTAAACGTATTATTTTGCAATTTTTGTGAAAAAAATATGCATACCTATATTTTACGTCTTAACACTTATTGGACTTATCTCTATGAAAAATACACGTATCCTTAGAATTCTTTTGATTGGAACAGTCTGACAATGAGTCGTCAAAAGTTTCAAGTAAGAACATTGTATTAGAACGCGTTTCGAAATGTGAAGTCACGAAAATTAACGTAATCTATATAAATAGTTCTCTTTATACTAATCTTTATATAATATCGTAGTCTTAAAATTTAAAGCTTATATTTTTGGTCTGAATGTGACTACATATGTATATATCTCGTTAATTATCTACGTCTCATTATTGACTAATTAGAAGGTCCCCTTGTTAGTAAATTTCGATCTGAGGGAGCTAACTATTCGATAAAATTTAATAATAAAGATAATAGTTATTATTTCTTTTTTTCGCGCATTTAATAGTAAATATTTTATTTTATAAGGATATATCATCTCTTCTTTCATTTTAATTGATCGGTTTCAGACGACAACGTATTAAAATTGCCGCAAGCATGTTTTTCCTTCAATTATCTCAGGGCCAAATTAACATCAGCAAAGGGCGAGTCACACTTTCACATTTATAAATATAAATTGCATCTTCATTGAAGACTTTCCTCTGCGTTGCTTGGAATTAAACGTGCTTGCTTTCTTTCCTTTTTACACGATGACTCTTTGCTGCTACAATCTTAATTAAATTATCAGAGAAAGAGAGAAAGAGATAGAGATATAGAGTAACCGATATAGTTTTTAATAAGTCGAAAAACGCCCACTATATTACATCTTTTATTCAACTCTCTTTTAGCAGACTTTCAAGTTGAAGGAGATAATATTTATATCAGCGATTCAAGTGAGATCATCTCCTTAATTTCGCGTTTGCTACAAACACTTGCACTTGATACTATTAATCCGGCTAAGTAAGAACCCTCTCTTGCATCCATAAATATTCTCCGATATATTCTCGAGTAAACTATAAAAGTCTAAGTAAGTAATCTCGTCAAGAGTGAAATGCTCGTCCTTATCTCGACAGATCAAAATATGTAGGCTCTCCAAAAATATCTGACATTATAATTCCCGCGCATATGTATATGTATGTATGGGTATGTATATTTCGTGCATATATTTCGTGTAAATCTATCATTTATTCAAAATATGTCATTATGTTTCGTCATATATTTCGTACGTAACTCGGATATTCGTGGATATGACAGGCGAGTATTATTAGTTTCTCTATTGCGTTGGCTTTATTAAAATAGGTATGTATATGGTACGAACGCTTTTGTACTTTACGAGTAGCATTAAATCGCGGAGAACTGTGACATTTCCGCGAGAACCGAAAGGGACAGAGAATCGCGAACGTATTAAACGCAACAATGATATTTTAATGCTCCTGTGTTACGCTGCGAACGTAAACATCAGCTCGTAACATAATACGATACAAAATATACATATAGTGTGTATTTCGCACACGTTAGCATATATATTGAGTTTCGCGCATTAATTCGGCTACAAAGCGCGATTAACAGAGATATGCACGTCGGGTATTAATCTGTATTCAATACCTGCTAGATTAATAGGCTCTGTATTTATGTAACGGCGTTTAACACGTTGACTGCCAAATATATACAGGATATAACTGCGTGAAAAGGTCACCATCAGATTTCTCATCAATATGGATTTTTTCTCAGCAAAAATGTCGAGGGAGATCTAATCATTTTTGCATCATGTATAGCGTTCTTTTTTTAACTACCATAAGTCTAAATTAAATTTTATTACAGTAAAAAAAAAATTTTTTTTTATTAATTTATTTTTATTTTTATTATAAATTATTTTTCGAGAATTATTTATTGGTGCCTCGACATTTTCACTGAGGAAAAATTGTCTCCAAATTAGTCAGAGAATTCCATCTGTTTGTTCAATTACACTTTGTATACGAATTAACTCATAGCTCGACTTAATAAAAGAATTATCTGCTCTATACGTCAATTGCGAGTTTCAATTCCATTTGATTGGGAAAAATATATATAAAATTTTATTACAAATTTTGATGAGAGAAAAATATAACTATAAATAGTATAATAAAAAACAAAGTTACCTTAATTTGGCGGCAATTAACATGTAAATTACGCGAAGAAGAACTGATCTGCGATTCTAATATCAAAGTGACAGACTATAATAATTCCCGAAGGGAATTTTTAAATAATCCCTGAGCACAATGTCGTTCCTTTCGTCGTATATGTTTGATGCTCGATGACGTTGACAAGATCGAACAAATCGAAATGCGCCATCGCGCGATTACCGCTCTGCTTCGTGTACAGACAATTTGCGAGAGCCTGTATATACATAAGTTTACGAGTAGAGAAGATGCGAGACCTTTGAAGAGACTAAAGTGATCTCTAAGGTTCGCTGCTACGACAGATTTCAGGAGAAGAAAGCTAAAGGAAGGAAATCTTTGTCTATTATAATTAAGTCTACAAGAATAAGAACAGAGATGCAAAAAGGGAAAGAGAGAGAGAAATGAAGAAAAAATGGATCAATCGATTTTTGAAGCTTATTTCTCCCGTAGGACTAATTATATAACTCATTAGGCGAATTAAACATTCCAGACCACCTTCAGAATTTCGTTCGCGATAATTTCACGTATTTGCGCTTCTGGAACAATTACTCGTATTACTCGCGGCTATTACGTTTCCCTTCGAAGTCTACGGTTTCATTATTCGGCACGGAATTCTCGACAATATGTACCGTTAACGAATCGTCGAGCAACGAACGAAAATTTAACGGCGTTTCCATATTCTCGGTGAATCCATCCCCGTCATGTATCATTCATGAAGCCGACTAGAATCGAAGCGCGGTAGGTGGTTTCATTACTGCGTGCGTGGCTCGCGGCGTAAAAAACGGCAAAAATAAAACAGAGGAAAAAATTTCAACGCGAAAAAAACAGCTCTTGTCGTTCGCGTAATTTCGTCCTCAGAAAATGTTGCGTCCAGATTTTTAGAGATCCAAAATCGACGTTCACCGCGACAAAGAGGAAATGAGAGAAACCGTCATTTCGAAAGCCGCAACACCCGGTTGGAGAGGACGAGTGGTTGCCGCACACTCTATTTCGATGAGAGTTTTCGAGTGTAAGGTTGCTTGAAATATACTCGGGTACTCTTTCTCATAAAGAATACAAGAAATATAGGCGATAAAGATGTCGAGAAGGAAAGGCGAAGCGAGTAACCAAAGGATTTTTTCACAGCCGTATTTCGTCCAAAGTAGATCACTGGAGAGATCCACCCAAGTAGCAAACTGACGTCCTTAAACGTCAGATTGACGTCTAATGACGTCAGTTTGCTACTTGGGTGGGTCTCTCCAGTGAGCTAACGTCACAATAACGTCATTTTAGTTTTGTCCAAAGTAGATCATTATGAAGAGACCCACTCAAATAACCAACCGACGTCACCAAACGTCAAAATGACCAAATAGGAAACTGACGTCATTAAACGTCAAAAAAACGTCAGATTGACGTCTAATGACGTCAGTTTGCTACTTGGGTGGGTCTCTCCAATGAGCTAACGTCACAATGAGGTCATTTTAGTTTCGTCCAAAGTAGATCATTGAAGAGACCCACTCAAATAACCAATCGACGTCACCAAACGTCAAAATGACGTCAGTCCGACGTCACTTTGCTACCTGGGTGGTTAAGTCAGAGAGAAAAACCGTATTCGCGGGGGTTAAACGCACGTTGCCTTGTATCCGAGAACGACATCGGGCGTTTTGCTACATGACGGACGATCGAAGTGATGCACCGAGCTGTTCCTCTCCCTGATCGCGCTACATCTCGCCAGACTGTCCTGGCGATTGTCGAGCGCGTTGTTGGCGCTACCGCGAAAATCCCTGGGCGACAGGGATCTCCCGAGGGTCTCGATCTTGTCGACGTTACTCACGCTCATCCTTCGGTCCCGCTGCAGCAGGTTCCTCCCACAACCGGTCGAGTCCTCGTATCTCTCCAGGAAGTTGCACACGCTGACGCGTCTCTCCCTCAGCAGGGACTTGCCCGGCGGGAAGGTGGGCCTCGCCAGGACGTCCGTCCTGTCGAAGTGGCAGATGCTGTTGCCGCGATCGCGCTGCGGCCGCGCCAGAACCTCCGTTCTGTCAAAGTGACAGATGCTCATGCCGCGCTCGCGCTGCGGCCGCGCCAGGACGTCCGTCCTGTCAAAGTGACAGATGCTCATGCCGCGGTCCCGCTGCAACGCCGGCCTCGCCAGAACGTCGCTCCGGTCGAACTGGCAGATGCTCATTCCCCGTTCGCGCTGCTGCAACGTCGGCCTCGCCAGAACGTCCATCCGGTCGAACTGATAGGCGCTGCTGGGTCGTCGCTCGCGTTGCAGCAGCCGCGACGTCTCGCCGACGCACCTGAGGGTCCGCAGAGTGTCGCCGTCTCGCTCCTCCTCGTCCGCGCACTCGGCGTGCACCAGCGACTGCAGATCGAACGCGCTCTTCGCGCGCCTAGGGGTCTCCTGGCTGGCCAGCAGCAGCGACGCGCTCGAACCCACGAAGACGCTGTTCTGCCGCAGCCTCGCGACCGACGGGCCGCCCGACGAGCAGCTCATCTGGTGCACCGGATGGTCCATGCAGTGGAGGTTGAACTTGGAGTAGCTTCGATGCTGCGAACAGAAGCCCGAGCGAATCCTGACTGTCGCGATCTGAGATGAATGGATTGTTATTTGTGTCTAGCGAGTTATATTTAGAGCCTGATAAGAATTCTGATAAGAATTTTGCAAACGATTTTTAGTTCTATTTATTTTGGAATGAATTATATTAATATATAAGCTTAAACCTTTTATCATTAATTTATTGATAAAGTAATCTTGAAATTATAACATTTATATACAGGTTACTAAAAATTATATTTTTTTTATATTTACAACGTTATATTTAGAGTATGAGAATATTTAGAGAGCCTGATGTATAAGAATGCAACAGTATACGAAATTACGTAGATTAACATTTTTATCGCAAATGATTTTTAAATCCTTTTTTTTGGAAAAATATTCACACATATCTGGAATTAAATACATATAACTAGTATTCAAATTCAGAATTATGTATAGACGTGTTCAGATTATTAGACTCATTTTTACTGTTTTATTAATTTATTCGAAAGAATTTATTTATCTATTGTAAGTATTTTAATTATAACATACAGAATATTATATTTTAATATTTAGTAAACAAATCACTTTCTTTCTCCAAATTCTAAAATTTTCACGATTGTTCAAAACTATGTTGTCATTATTGTCAAATAACAATTATGATTTAATTACAATAAAAAATTATTAAAATTATTAAACTCAATAAAAATATCAGCATAATATAAAAATAATAACATAAACAAACTTTAAACAAACAACGTGGAGTAATTGCTTGTTGTTGAATATAGATTTTCATTGCTAAAAAGATGTTTGCGAATAATTTCCAGGTCAAAAAATTATAAAGAAATTGTCAATCTTTTATACAAAAAAAAAATAAAACTTAATTTGCTTTAAAAAGTAAAATGTGATTATTAAACACAAACTAACTGCAAAATAATATTTCAACATAAAAATATGTTTGAATTTAATAATCTGAACATGTGTATACATAGAGATGTAAATAGAAAAGAAATTAAATATTTTTTGTGAGAAAAAAACAATAAATTTAATTTTTTTAACAACGTGTAATTTCGGTATGTTGTAATTATGTAAGTTATTATTATATCATAACTCTCTTTTTAAATAAAATCAGTAGAAAAATATTACCGCTTTAAGCAGTCTTCAGAAAGCACATTTATTTTAAATCAAAATACTTAGCCTTCTCATTTTCTACCTTCACTGAATATAAGATAAAAAATTTCATTTAAAAATAATTAATTAATTCTTACACTTTTTATCAGTATATTTCACTGAACAGCATTATTATAAGATTTCTGAAAAATCAGTCACTATCACTAACTGATTTTTCTCTCTCAGTAAGCTTTTATTGTTCTTTCAATATACTTATAACACTGAAACTACTTTTGATCAAAATAATACATTATTTTGTATAAAAAAGAAGATGACAAATTAATAATGAAATAAAAAAAATCGTCGATAAAAAAATATCGATGATTAAATAAATTAAATAAATTACAAAAATCAAATTAAATCGAAATATTGCAATTAAATTGCATTAAATAACTAGCTAATTTATAATTATATTGCAAATTTATTTTCCGAACGCCATATACATTCTTCCAAATAATTTGCACGAATATATTCATAGCTGTAGCGAGAGTTGCGGACAGACTCGACGGTGGTATTTCCGCAGAAATATCTCGACCAGGGCTACGTATAGGTATATGAATTACACGGGGTTGTCTCTCGGCGAAAATGTATTGGATGTGACCCGGAAGTCCGCGTACCGGACGCGTTGACATGATTTTCCAGCAAACAACGCGCGCATCTATTTAACGATCGTGACAGTATTGTGTTGTGATAACGAGAGGAAATTTGTGAAGCGGCTTAATATTGTTCCTTATCCGGAGAATGACATTCCTCCCACTGAGAAGAATTCAGAGTTTCGACACAAGACTTAGAAATAGGTTAACGTCATTCTATCGAATTCTATTACAACGCGCGGAAAAGGAGAGATTGCTTTACAAGCTTTTCCCGAGGGACGCAAATGGGACAACTTAAGAGTTCGGATTTTGCGCTCTCTCTCAACCGGAAACTCTCATCTCTCTCACACAATGTATATACTATATCTATACGTTATTCCAGACGCTAGCTACGCGTAAGTCGGTATCTCGAGTCCCGTTTTATGAGAAAGAGGCGCTCGCATCTTGCTAGATTACTGGGACGGTGTCCCGAGACTCGTTGAGGGAGCAAGAGATGATGCCTGCATTTACATGTATTATGCAAAAGCGGATGGGAACTTCGCGATACTCCAGTCAATTTAAGAACCTCCGTCGGAGTAATTCGATGCAGGCCGCGTTAGACAAACAAAATTAAAATACGCCGATAAAACGTCGGGCTGCATAACGACGGAAGTGTTCTCCTAAACTGGGAAATAGCGCTGATCAAAGTGGTGATTTTTACAAGATTTCGCCGAAGATCAGCGATATTGAGTAAAAACACACTTTGCTCTCCTGCATTTTACGTCCCATCAATTTTATGACAGTGACATTTCACTGAAAAATCAATAATGACATTGTATGTTTGCAATATGTAATTTTTTAAAAAAATTTGTATTTATTCGGATTGTTTTTTTTTTTTTGGAAAAACAGATACATACATATATATCTGAAAGCGAAACACGTATAACTAGTGTTCAAATTTAGAATCATACGTAAAAATGTAAATAGAATAAAAGAAAGTAAATATTTTTTTATGAAAAAAATATTGCGTTTTTAGTTTTGTTTTCTTTTTCAGATGTGTATAGTTAACACCTTTTATTTTAATTATTACAAGTTGATTTTTCATTGTTTTTGATTTTTTAAGTAATTATATATTTTTTAAATGTAAATTAAATTTGCATTAAAATTGCTTATAAAGTTATGCAATTTAATTATTATTAATCAATGGCAAAAATTAATATTATATCAATTTAATTATTATTATATCAATGGCGAAAATTCTTGAAATAATTACAATTGAATATGACGTTATATTTTGTCGCAAAAGTCTCATTAATACATTATAATTACTTTCAAAAAGATAATTTAAAAATATAAGAATTTTTATTATTTTATTAATAAAGAAATATAAAAAAAATTATATTATATTTAAAAATAATTAAAAAAAAGAGATTTGTTTTTTTTTCAATAAGAGAAAACATTACTTTTATATTTTTATAATGTAATAAATATAAAAAGACAAACAAAAATCTTCATAAAATATTTTGTTAACAGGATATATTGCTATAAATTTAATAAAATTATCAAATATAGTAAGAAAATATGAAACATACATTTAAAAATATCACCGATTGAGAAAAGCATTATCTCTATTTCTTTGATTCTTTCAGCGGCGTTTCACTGATTTGCTATATTTAAAATTGAAACTATTATGATTATTCATTGCTTTTCAATGATAATAATACTAATTCCATTAAAGAGAGTAGGTCGGGACATACTATAAAAATTTTATCTCGATCGATGAAGAGAAAATTTTTTTCCTACCATTATAACTGTACATTGCATTTTTTTTCGCATTTCGTGCAGTGAAAACGAATTCGCCGAAACTAATTACTCAAATCCCGAATTACACGATCCGATGCAATGGAATGAATTCTCTCGCAAGCCTAATTATCGGAAAATGTTCGGTGAGCATACGAGATTTTCGGATTCGCCAATGAAACGCCCAATACATCGAGACCCATTGAATATCTTGTTCAATCTATGTAGGACGGGTCATCTGTCATTAACTTCGCGCGTCATTTTCAATCATTGTGCTATTTATATAGAACCGTACAGAGAGCATCGCTGTGAATCATTGCATAATCATGTCATTTATTGCAGCGACGCGACGCGACGTGCCGGAAATGCAGAAAGTTATGTCCCTTCGATTTAATTAATTTACGTCCACGATTTATTTCATCTCGCCTACTTTATCAGATCCCAACGCTAAACTCAACGGGAAAATATATCCACGCGAAATGGATTCCCTTGTATGATCGAAGGACACCGCGAGCCAATTATCCGCAGTTTTCCTCATCAATCATGTAAAATTGCAGGAGACAGCGATATCGCTTAATGCGGCTGCATCGGATTACGGATCTGAGGGTGCATCGGCTAGAAGACGCGATAATATATTTTCTGAATGAAAATGTGTATAAGATATAGATATACATATATATAGGGTGACATTGTACCGGCGCTTTGATGGAACGATGTAAGTGCATATATACACACGCGCTGAGAATGACAAATTGCATGCACGTTTCGTACACAGGCGTATGTGTAGGGTCTGGTCTCATTATACAGATGCTGCCTTGAATATTGCATGTAATATCGGACCATTATTCGCAGCATAATTGTCCCGCCTTACACAGGTCCGAAGACTCGGACGCGATTAAATATTGCTTTGACAGATTTCATTCTCGGGGTCTAGAGTCTCTTTAAGGCGTTTAGAAATTAATTTAAAATTTTTTAATTGAGATGACAAACATTAATTTATCGTACACACATCACATATGCATATGCAAACTGATTCTGAATAAGTGCGAAACAATTTTAGAGATGATTCCTTGTCAAAAATTCAGAGAGGTTTTTCATATTAATATATACTCTTCTAAAAAAAAAAAAAATTTTAATTTTTTTCAAATTTTGCTTTTGTTCCATTTTTTCTATTTTTTAGTCTAATATTCAACTTTATTTTTTTTTTTTTTGCAAACTATCGATTTTAAAAATAAAAGAAATAAAAACATTTCTAAAACAAGATTTTTATATTTTTAGATGATCATATACTCTGGCTCGTTAAAAAATTCTAATAAAAAGTTGAATATGGCAAGTTTCATATGATATGAGAGAATTTAAAAAACATTAAAAAGTATCCTTTTTACTAGTAGAAAATTTCCATTGAATTCCATTTTTTTAACTTGTCTAAAATTTAAGAAAAAAAAATAAAAACCTAATTTTTTCCTTTGA